AAACGTCCGCAGTAACAACACACATAGGGCGCACCGCACATTTTAAGGGAAAAAAAAGATGTTTATATGCACCTTATAGTCGTGAAAATTCTGGAGTTTTTATAGTATATGGATTTTGTTTTCCAAGCTTGAAGATGTTTTTGGAACGACAATTACCTGAATGACTGAGAATCTTAACCAGTGGAACAATTTTAAGCATGTCTGCAATATTTTATACAGCAAAGATTAAACTTTGAAATGTGACGTAGAGAGAAGGCTACTTGACTTTACAGATCCAGAGGTTTCTGGGTTTTTTCCTTAAAAGAGAAAATATCCCTAACAATCATCTCTGACCTCGTCTAGAGAAGTAGATCACAATAGTTTTGTTGTTTTTTTTATTAGAAGCTGCGGTTCCAGCATCGAGTCTTTCTTTAGCTGCCGGTGGCCCCCTCTGAAAGGTCCACGAGGAAGGAGGATTTTATTCCCCCCTGTGTGTATTTAGGCAGGCAGCGGGTCAGCGCCGACCTGCAAGTAGAACCAATCCATCACTGACAGCAGCACTGTGGTCCTAACTGAGGCACAAGAACACAGGAACCGTTTCGCTTCTGTAAACTAAATCTATACAGTTTAATCCTGTTTCAATCTTTTATGTAGCATTATATTTTGTTCCATTCACCTGGAAACAAATGTAAAATTTAGATATAAGAAAGCTGCAATATTTTCATCTAGTTTTAGCATCCAGAGATCCTTTAGCATAAGTCGTTTTTGAAATCACCACAGACTCTCTTTTTCATTTATTTTGAAATGTTATCTTAAGCTCTTCTGGGTGTGTGCTGAAAATGAATCACCTTCCACCTTCTTGAAAAGGGTCCAAATTGATTGTTTGATCTTAGGATAGGTAACGCCACAGCATGTTGCTGCCAGCACCATTTTTTACCTGATAGTTATGGTGTTTGGCTGCTGATGAGTTTGGTTTCAATGAAACAGAACTCAATCTTTCTTAAGGTTCTGGTGTTTTTTAGCCAGGCCTGCTCTGCAGCTTAGCAAAAACAATCACTCATAGTTTGATCTTTATGAAACTGCATTAATAAGGTGGTTATTTCCTAATAATAGTGAAGTATATCTAAAACTTCTTGAAAAATAGGACATGGAAAAACAAGAATCCTTTAGTATTCTGTAGTATGGAGGTGGACCTCCATCTCTGATGCATTAGTTCTCTTAGTGGTCCAGGATAAAACGCTGATGATGGCAGAGTCATTGCTCAGTCACAAAGCACAAATTGATGCAGCCAGCAGGAACAAAAACCATGACTGAGAGTACTCTACAGCATGTAAGGAATGCTATTAATGGGTCAGAGGCCCGTGTTCACAAAAACAGGGCTTATTTGCAGGCACTTTGCTCACATGCTTTAGGTTACATAACGTAGGAGCTTACCATCAGATTCCAAGATTCCTGATGTGGATAAAAAGAGATGAATATCTGACCATGCAGCGCTCAGAGAGCCTCTCCTCTGGACTATAAATACTCTGCAGACTCCCACGTTGAAACCCAGAGTGAGATGGTTCACATTTTCTCCCATGCATCCTGCAGGCTCAGCTTTATTTGGAGAGTTTCGGCCCTCCGAATATTGCTGTTGCACAACATGACACGTCTAATAATCTATCAGGCTGCTTTCCACACATCTGCTGACCTGTTTAAGAGCGCCCAGATCTCAGAGTAGCAGGGTGTGTGTGTTAGTGTGTGGGGGGGCAGTTTGGGGATGTGTGTGTCCATCACTAGTTGTAAAATGAGGAGACTTTGCTTGTCCTATTGGTTAGGTTTAGGGTTAGTTTTAGGGTTGGAGCATAAAAAGGGTTGAAAATGACTGAAATCAATGGGAGTCAACACATGGTCCTCACAACGATGGCAAAATGAGTATGTGTGTGTGTGTGTGTGTCTGTGTAAGGGAATGCTTTGAGATAACCTTCAGTGTAGCAGCATCACTGGCCTCTTTCTACACAGATTGCGTTGCTAAGGGAACTGTTGCTAGGACGGCAGTCGCCACTCTTTCACCTTCTTCATTCTTCCTTCTCCATCTTTTCTCCATTATCTGTGCGTCTATTCAGCTTAATCCTGGTTCCAATTACACGGTGAATGAGGCACCCTTGCTGCAATCACCTCAAGTCATAAAAGCAAACTTAACCTTTAGGGTTGAAGGCCTCAGCGGGAGCTCTCAAAGGGCACAGGCCTCGGCCATGATCGCTGCAGGTTATCAGAGATGGAATGGACCACTTCACTGCGTGTGAGTTCCACTCTCCGCATCTTAGCAGGAGGGAGATTAGGAAGGAGCGTATTCAGAGTCCAGGAAAAGATGTCAGCTGTGGAAGCTTACAGCTGAGTCAGACTTAACAGGCTTCCTTTCCTGTTGGAGGGATCCTGCTCTGAAGAAGCTGCTGCATCACCTCATGGAGGATTCCTCACAAACACAGCTGCAGCTGGAACAGTCGAGGCTCCGCAGCCATAGCTGCTGTTGGTTCACATCACATGCACTGGGATATATGTGCAGGATGGTTATGGTTTTACCTTTTCTGTCACTGATGTGATCCTTTAAGGATTTGTTAGGAAGATTTAAATATGCAGCCTTAGAAGATAGAAACAGTCCCAGAACTCCTGAAGGAAAATGCATTTAAATAAATTAGAATACCTGCAAAATACATCAGTGATTTGGCTGATAGAGAGAAACTCATACTCTGCGTAGATCTGGGTTTATTTTCAAGATCTCTGGTTACAGATGAAGAAAACCCCAAAACTTAGTTCTAAAGAAATCTAGGAGACATAAGAGCAATGAATACTGATTTATAATACAGAAATGTGGGCTTACTGAAGTGTTCTTAAAGAGTGAGCACCTTGTAGGTGATTGAGACTCGTTCTACTTGACTTCCTGCATTAATCCAGAATGTCATGGAAACGGTGAGCCTGTGGCGCTGCTGATGTGCCAAGGAGGCACAGGTTACTTCTCAGCTTCCTCAAGGTTGCTTGTGTTTAACCTCTTCTTCCTTCCACTCAATTTTCTATGAGTATTATTAGAAAGGGACTCTGTGAACAGCTCCCTTCTGTATGACTGCGAAGGTCATAACATGGCGTTTCTGTAGTATTATGTGGTAGTAGTGGCCTGGTGGTTGTGCGATTTTTTTCAATCGTTGCACGCAGCTACAGCTCCCACTGTACAGCGAAACCGATTTTCTCCCGACCTCGTGATTCAGTGTATTCTCATTATGAGTTCGTATGAAATCGTACGAAAAGTTATGCACCGTAATTTCGTACGTTTTTGACGTTTTTTTCGTCGTATTTCATCCTATTTTTACGTCTTGCCTCGAGACAAGATATCCTTGCGCATGTGCATCTTACGCACCATTCAATAACATAGAATTTAACATAAAATTAACCCTAACCCTAAGATACAAAACAGCAAGCAAAGTAGTTAGACACATGAAGAAGTAGTTATTGCAGTGTTTTTCCCAGTTTTACGGATCTGCTTTTTTCGTCTGTCTGCCTACGCATGCGCATTGATCTGTTTTTCGAGGAAAAACTTCAAAAACGTACGAAATACTGTGCATAACTTTTCGTACGATTTCATACGAACTGATAATGAGAATATGTTGCGTGATTCCTGATCAGGAGGTGGTCGTGAGAGGCTGATCGCCACTCGTTACCCCCTGTACACTACACGACTCACAACGAACGATCAGGCTGAAAGTCGGGCCGATCGAGAAATTCTCGCACGACTGGAATGTCGGCCCGAAAAGGGCAGAAAATCGCACAGTGTAAGCCTGGTTTAGGGAAAAGTGCTTGAGTTCTGCGAAGGCTACAAGTACAACATATTCTCATTATCAGTTCGCATGAAATCGTACGAAAAGTTATGTACAGTATTTCGTACTTTTTTGACGTTTTTCTTCGAAAAAACATATCAGTGCGCATGCGCAGCCAGACAGACGAAAAAAGCAGATGGGCGGACGGACGTAAAACTGGGACGGACAGTGCAATAATTACTTCATGATGTCTCTCATTAGGTTGCTTGCTGTTTTGTATCTTAGGGTTAGGGTCAGGGTTAATTGTATGTTATTGAATGGTGCGTAAGATGCGCACGGATATCTTGTCTCAAGGCAAGACGTAAAAACACGACGAAAAAAACGTCAAAAACGTACGAAATACTGTGCATAACTTTTCGTACGATTTCATACCAACTGATAATGAGAATACACTGACAAGTACCCAGGTCGAACCCCACAATCTGCCCTTTTGGGTCCCTGGTTGCTTCCAGGAATGGGTTAAAAGCAGAGATCAACTTTCATTAAATTGTACATTTGCAAGGATCAATAAAATTCATTGTCCTGATCAATATTCTCGTTTTTCAGTCATTGGTGTATTTATTTCAGAGTAACTCATTTTGTGTTTTCATTAGCTGTAAGGCTAAGCGGAAGACATGAAAAGTTAGAATTATATTATAGAATTAGGTTACAGAATGCTTGATTAATGAATTGGACACCTGGTTCCACTCTGCTCTACAAATTTAGGCCCATCATATATTTGTTAGAGATTTTACCAAGGGAAAACACAACAGACCCTGAAACGCATCCCTGGGGCACACCAGATGGTTTTAAAGATTCTGATTGATAATGAAATAATAGTAAACATAATTCTACGGGTTTAGATTGCATTACGTGTTATCTCATCATTTTTGTTCTGTTTTTAGGTAGATGTTGTCATTTAAAGCCAATATGTTGATTTTATTTAGTTGTTGCAGAAAAAACAATAACAAAAAAAAAAAATCCAACATAAGTGTGTGCAGCTTTATCTCGGTCATCTGATCCGGCGAGCAGACGGAGACACTTTTTAAGAAGTCACTAGATTAGTGCGGTCACCCACTCCCACTCCCACTCCGTGTCTGCTGCTGTGGGTTTGTCATTGCGGAGCTCTCAGCGCCGCTTTCTCCTCCGCCCCTTTCGCCTCTTGCACCGCGGCGAGCCGCAGCCTTGTCCCCGCCTCGCCATGAGCCGTCAGCCGCCTCCACCTCCGCACTGATGTCGCGTCTCCTGGAAGGCGCCGCTCTGCCGCACCGCGCGGCTCCACCGCAGCAGCGGCAGGAGCGGAAGCGGTAACCGCGCCTCAGACGCAGCGCCTGTTATTTTATTTTTTTCCCCACTTTTTCATTTTTATATATATTTTTATTTATTTTGGGGTTCGCCTCTTTCCCGGAGGATGCTGTTGCCGGGCTACCGGAGCTGCCGCCGCAGGGTTTGATAGAAACAGCGGCCGAGCAGAGGAGGAGGAGGAGGAGGCGGTGGGGGGGTGGGGGCCGCCCTGCCCTGCCCCGGCCGGACTAGCTCTCCTCCAGCAGCATGAACCTCCACTCGGGCAGGGCGTCCGTGGCCATGCTGCGGATGATGGGCTGTGCTAACGGGCGCTCTGCTCGGCATCTCCTCCACAGTGACTGCGTGGTGGACGAGAAGACGGTGGTTCTGCAGAAGAAGGAGAATGAGGGCTTCGGCTTCGTGCTGCGTGGGGCCAAAGGTAAGAACATCCACTCACTTTGAGTCATTCTTCCTTTTTTTATTTTCCGCTTCTCTGCAGACATCAGCTGTGACGTGAAGCCCTGACCTCTTGATGCATGTTTGTTTGTGGTGACAGATTGTGTTCACTAAATAAAACCGCAGCAGCCACATTTCCACCAACAAATAGAGAAAACCAGCCTGCAGGAATCATAAAAGCGCATAATTAGGTTTCTCTTTTTGCAGAGTTTATGCCACTGATTGCCTTCCAATAACCTGATCCCACAGCCTGAATGTGAGCCACATGTTTACTCCTCATCAGCTGGATGTGTTGATATGTTGGACCAGAGCACCATCACATCAGCAGGGAGCAGTTAGTGTTTTTGACCTGAGGTCTGCAAACAGAACAGACCTGCAGAAATCTCCTGGATGTTTGCTCTGTTTATGACAGGATGCATTAAATAAATAGCACTGTGTCTTCCAGCTTTTTATACCAAAAAATAACTTTAACAGGGGCAGCACGCTTCAGCTGTGACATCAGGGCACTGACCTGCAGAAATAATCTTTGCATCAGGAAAAATTAGCCTTTCTGAACACTTTTATCTGAAGGTTTAATGAAGGTTTTATATAATCTGGGTTCATTCATGATTATTAAAGCTGTAAAGCTTTTGCTTAATAATCACAAACAAGTGCATGTATGAAATCAGTTCATCTTTTGTAAAAGAAATCCCAAGCGAGGTCACAAGGGGAGCGGGTTTCTATCTCCTGCTGTTTACAGGTGAGGCGGGGTCCTTCCGGGACAGGTTTCCAGTCCTTCACAGGGACACACAGAGACTAACAACCATTCACACACACACTCACGCCTAAGGAGAATTTAGGAAAGCCAATTAACCTAACAATCATGTTTTTGGACTGTGGGAGGAAGCTGGAGTACCCAGGGAGAACCCATGCATGCTCAGAGAACATGCAAATTCCATGCAGAAAGACCCCGCAACCTTCCTGCTCAGTGCTACCCACTGCTACCCACATCACATCCTCCTGTAATTCATACATAGTTTCAAAAGATCTAAACTTCAATAATAAGACATGCATAACAGATCACGCCGTGGCTGTTTTACTTATTAAACAACTGGAGCAGAAATAGGAGATGTAATAATCTGCAGTAATGTTTCATCCTCCTTCCATTCAAAACCTGCTGGTCAATAATATGTTTTCTCATTTGCATTGACTTTATTATTCCCATACCTGTCATAGATCTGAATGACCAAGATGCTAAAGCTCAGAGAGAGCCATTGAGGGTCAGAGTCACTGAGCTTTCAGGTTCGCCAACAAACGACAAGAACGTTGCCGTGTTTTGCTTTTATAATACCATTCATGGACCTTTAAAGCTGGATGTTTGAAACAGATGTTTATTTTCATCTTGCTGCTGTTTGGCAAAGAAGAGATGTCAGCTGTGAGGTCATTTAAAAGATAAAGGGAATAATGATGCTGGTATGGGTATCAGTTATCGGCCGGAGCAGCAATAATAGCATCGATCCAAAGGTTTGAATCGGTTCCTCTCTAAACCAGACCCGATGTGAGCTCATGGATCTAAACAGACCTGAACTGGTTCTGTTTTAAACTCCTCTGGACCGAGTCTTTCAGTTGAGTCCCTGTATCGCGGCGGCCGCCCTCCTCTATGCGCCCCCCAGCTCAGCGTTGCTTGTTGTGGTACGAGTGGCACATTCAGGCAGGCGGTGAGATCGCTTCTAAAAATAGCCGTTTGGAGATGCTGCTGCTTCGGTTTCTACGACGATTCCTGCCGTGTCATAATCCACATAATTCCACTGCCGCATGGTGTCGTTGGATTGGTCGCCACCGCCCTTTCGTGTGATTTCAAGACGTTGTTTTGTTTTTTTTATTTATTTATTATTTTTTATTGAGGAGGCAGAGATGGAGGGATTTGTCTCGGAGAAGCAAGAGGAATGTTGCCTTCTCTGTGACACACAGTGACTTTTACCCCAGAGGAACGGAGCCAGCCGAGCTCTTCCTGTGCTGGGGGGCGAACATGAACACACAAACATACCCTGATGCTGAAGCTGTCACAAAAGCTCACATCCTCTTCCTCGCTCTGCATTTCTGATCTGCCTCCCTCCCTCCTTCCCTCTCCTCCCCTCAGTCTCTCTCTCTCACATCCAGAAACATCCCAGTGGTGTTGAGAACCTCCCATGAGATCTTGGGATGTGCTCGCGGTCTGTGTCTCCCAGTAAGGCTGTGAGTTATAGGAAGTGTCAGTTGTCACCACTGGTTTCTCCCGGCCGCTGGATTCTTTAACCTCCCCGAGAGCAAGCGAAGAGGGAGGGGGGGGGCGTTCTGCGAACATTAATGCGGAGAACGGTTCTACCCTGCAGGATGGATGGTGCTAGAAAAACCAGGCCCTTAACTTTTTAAGCGACAGAATGGAATGTTTGCTGCAAAGTTTCATGAAGGGATCTGTGAGACGGTGCTGGAGGCTGCAGATGTCAGGGATGGGGTCAGTTTAGGGCTGAAACAATTCATCCAAATAATCAGGATTAATCGATTATTTAAATAATCATCAACTAATTTAGTAATCAGTAAATCGTTAACCGGAGTTTAGAGACTGTAAAAAATGCCTTTAGCTGACAGAGCGACCCATTTAGAGCAAGAATTATATCAAAATGAAATAAATATATAAACATTTTGCATTTAAGATAAAAAAAATCTTTTTCTCCTGTCATTCTGCTCCATCTAGAACGTTTCTAGTGGAAATGTTTTAGCTTCACCTGGTTTCATTTTGTAAAAAAAAATCTTCTTTAAGGAACCTTTAAGGAATCTGATTATTAATCAATTAATTGGAAGAATAATCAACAGATTGATCAATTTGCTAAATAATCATTAGTTGCAGTCCTAATTCACTTATAAGGCTGGTCCTGATCAGTTGGGGACCAGGTGACGTAGAAATTCGTTCTTAGAAGTTCTGCTTGGTGTTTAATTCAAACATGATCGACTGTTTAAAGGCATAAGCAGAGCCTGAGATCAATCATCCAGTTTTAAAAGAGACGTCCTGTGTTTTTCTGCCTGCAAAAAAGTTGTTAAAATATAAATCTGACTTTTTAGAAAAGAACAAAATAAACATAATGATAATGGTTTATATCCACTTAGGAACCCATTTTGAACCGCGCTCTGTTTACTTGTTACAAGGCTTTTTTTTTGTTTGATTTTTGAAGAAAGGTCAATGAGTTACTTCTTTTGATTTCCCTTTAGGATTAATAAAGTTCTTTTGAAATTAATTCTGAAAGGTTCAGCAGAGAAGTTACTGCCTGCTACATGGGAACATTACAATGTCCAAATATTGGATTTCTTTCTGTTGCATTTGCTACTGCTAACAAAATAGTTGGATTTATCCATCATGATTTAGTTAATCTTTTCATTTTTAAAGCATAATCATGTCTTAAAGAGAAGGATTGGTCATTAGAAACAAGTTGGGATGAAAGGAGCCAAAAAACGACTTATTTTGCTGGTTTTATCCTTCTGAGCTGCTCTCCTGCAGCTTCTAGATGCATTCCTGAAGCCTAGATATACCCTCATCAGAATTAAGTCCACTCCATCCCTGTGGTTCAGATCTACAATCATTTGCGTGTATTTCACTGCTATTGCTGTGGTTTTTTATACCTCTCTGTTTCCTTTTCCCAGTCTGGATTTAACTATCATTCAGAGTTAAATGAACTCCTGACCTTTACGTCTGTCCCTTTGTGCTGCAGCCGATACTCCCATCGAGGAGTTCACCCCCACGCCGGCCTTCCCGGCCCTGCAGTACCTGGAGTCGGTGGATGAAGGCGGAGTGGCCTGGCAGGCGGGGCTCCGGACGGGGGACTTCCTCATTGAGGTAAGGGCTGCTTTCAGGAGGCGCTGCTGCCTTTGCTTTTACTGTTTTTACTGCGTTTGCTTTGCTGAGAAACTGTTGGATTTGTGTTTAAATCCAAACTGCTTTGTGGTGTCCTTTGGAATTAGAAATAAGCTTCCCGAAAAAAGGATTTTCTGGTGATGATTTGCAGCTTCTGAGCGTTAATCTGAAAGGGTTAGGCTGTTTCTGTGCGTTCAGTCTGTCTAACTGTGACTCCTGCAGCTTTTCAAATGGTCAGTGTTAGAATATGTGCTGGGAGGAAGATGACCTGCTGACTGTCCTCAGAGATCATCCATGGTCTGCGGTCTGTTGTTCCGTCCCTGGAAATCTGGAATTATTCACGTCAGGTTTCCTTCATAAAACCTTAGAGTCACTGGGCACAGATGACTGATGAAACAGAAAGGATTTTAATACATTTATGTTCTCAGGAAATACATTATTAACCTTTAGCATATTATAGTTTAGTACGCTTACTATTTTTAGGGAGGGAAAATTTTAATTCAGGTCTATTTTACAAAATAAAAACAAGGGCGACCCGGATGTATATCTGGATGCACAGATGAGCTGATTGTACGGATCGGGTCGTGAAAACTGTCACCAGTGCTGCTAGCTGCAACCACTGATCTCTGTTTACTCACTGGATTGCTGATTGGCCATGGGGATTACTGGCCATGAGGTGCTGTGAA